ACCTGCCCCTCTCCCCGTCGCCGGGGTAAGGGGGCCGGGCCGCACGGACCCCCTCGAGTGACAGCGCTGTGGTTCGCCCAGAGCTGATCTGGCTCCGACCCCCGGGGACCTGCCAGCCCGTGTCGCCATGTCCCTGGGGCCGAAGGCCTTTCTGGTGAAGAACCCTGTGAGGACGGAGTCGGCTCTCGCTCAGTGTTGAGGCTTTGACGCAGGCTTGGGGGGCGGGGGGTCACCCTCCGGCCGGCGGCCCCGCTGGCGGGACACAGGGTCCCAGCCTGCTCCACGGTCCTTGTTGTAATTTTTGGGAAGATTTGTAAAAACAAGTAAGAGCCACAAATAATCCCACCACCTAGCAGTGATGGCGAACCTTTTGAGCTCGGCGTGTCAGCATTTTGAAAAACCCTAACTTAACTCTGGTGCCACATATAGAAATTTTTTTATATTTGCAGCCATAGTAAAACAAAGACATATTTTTGATATTTATTTGATATATTTAAATGCCATTTAACAAAGAAAAATCAACCAAAAAAATGAGTTCGCATGTCACCTCTGACACACCCGTCATAGGTTCGCCATCACTGATAAGGCATCCCCTGCGCTGCAGAGCGTCCTGAACGACCCTGAACAGGCGCCCGTGGGTGTGGCCGGGGGAGATGATGGAGTCTCACCCCGCACTCGGGAGTGGGCGGCTCCCGGGAAGTGGGGGGCGGGGAGGGGGAATCCCTGCCCCGCGACAGCGAGGAGCAAGGATGAAGGTGGGACTGGCAGCAGGTGGAAGGCCGCTGCCCGGGAGGGGCCGCAGACTGGCGTTGGGGAGGTGGCTGCTGCTTCCGGCGGCTCTTCGTGTTGTCCTGCCGCCTGTGCTTACAGGGTTTTAGCAGGAGGAGTGGGCGTGCGCGTTCGGTTCCAGCGCTGACGAATGGGTTCCCCCTGGGAGTACAGTTGACGTTCGTCAGAGTCTGTCTGTCGGTAGCACTAATTTTTAAGATCAGTTATTGTCACGTCTCCTCCATTTCTACATTTCTCTTCTGACATGTGTCTTTGCACAGTTACCCACACGGTTTCAAGCTCTGAGCTGAATTGCTTCATTGGACTTAATTTCTACTGTATTTCAGTCCATAACTTTATTATATGTGTGTGTGTGTGTGTGTGTGTGTGTGTGTGTACACACATATATGTTTTGATTTCAGAGAGAGGAAGGGAGAGAGAAACATCAGTGATGAGAGAGAACCATCAATCGGCTGCCTCCTGCATGCCCCACACTGGGGATCGAGCCTGCAGCCCAGGCATGTGCCCTGACTGGGAATCGAACCGTGACCTCCTGGTTCATAGGTTGATGCTCAGCCACTGAGCCAGGCTGCCCCGGGATTTGCTGAAGTTTTTAAAAGTTCTGCTTCGTTCCTGGTTTTCTTCCATCCACAGTCACCCCTGAAGGGAAGCCCCCATGCAGAGTGCGCCCCCACTTCCTCATGGTGCCGGTCCCTTCCTGCTCTTGGCCCCCCACTTGCCTGGTGGGGGTCGCCCCCCGCCCCACGCCGTCTCCTTGCGGTGCCCGCAGCCTTGTCCCTGGCCCGCGATGACGCCTGGGTGACCCCCACCCCCACCCCAGGACAGTCCTCTTCAGCACCGTCCGCAAGCCCTGGGCTGACGTCATCCCCTGCAACTATGAGATGCAGCACACGCTCCGGGACCTGGTGCCGCTCAAGGCCTTCCTGCTGGCCGGGACGACCGTGACCATCGTGGAGGAGAAGGTGGGGTCCCCCTGGAGGCCGGTGCCCCTTCCTGTGCATTTTCTGTCCGGCCCAGCTCCCCAGTTTGCGTGGTCTCAGCTCCTTTCCAGAAAGACCCCAGCCGGTCCCAGCGTGGCCCATGTTCCCGCGCGGCCGCCTTGCTGTCCCCTAGATTCTCTCCTGGCCCATGGTGCCACCTCCTGTCGACAGTTCCTCGCATGCCAAGGGAAAAGGGGAGAAGGAGAAAGAGAAGAAAGAGAAAGAGGAGAAAGAGAAAGAGGAGAAAGACAAGAAAGGGAAAGATGGGAAAGACAAGGCCGCCAAAGGGGAGAAAGAGAAGGTACCCCTAGCCCTGGGCAGTGACCATGGGCACTGGGCACATCCCGGCCGGGCCCTGTCACCCTCCCAGCCTCTCCCCCCAGGAACAGAAGGGGACCAAGAAGAAGAGAGGGGTCTCTAAGGAGCTTCGCCAGGACCCCCCCATCCTGCGGGTGCTGGGCAGCGGCCTGGTGGTCCTGGAGCCCCTGCTGGCGGGGGATCCACTCGTGTCCACCCTGTGCACGTTTGGGGTGATCCGCACCTTGGAATCCGACAGGCTGACATTTCTCAGGGTACCGTGGGCCCCTGCCACACCCTCCCCACAGAAATAGTGCTGGGAAGCAAGGCCCGTGGGGCCAGGTCGTGGGAGGGTAGGGGTGGCAGGCTGGGGGAGGAGGCCCCAAGCCCCCTCAAGAAGCCCCAGCGTTGGCAAGGCTCCGGAAGGCATAGGACGGCCAGTGGGGTCGTGGTGCAAGGGGGCAGGTGGCCCCCTCCTCCCTAGGAGACCCTGCCCCGCCTCCGTGCCAGGAGAGGCCTGGCAGGGGAGAGCCGCCCACAAGACGCACTGGAATCTGCACCCCCCACTCTGTGAGCGTCTTATTTGGTGGTTCTTCTCTCAGGATTCTAAGACTAAGAAAGCTAAAAAAGGTAAGAGCCGATGATGGTGACCGAGGGCAGGGAGTCTGTACTGAGGACCTGTATTCACCCATCGGGGCTGCGATAACCGGGCACCATAGCCGGGCAGCTCATAAACAATAGGCATTTCTTTCTCGCAGCTTTGGAGCCAGGGAAGGCCAAGAACAAGATGCCAGCCTTGCCAGGTAAGGGCCTCTTCCTGGTTAACAGCCAGGCCCTTCTCATGTGTCCTCACCTGGTGCATGAATTTTCTCAATGAAAAAAAGTATAAGGTAAGTACACTTGTCCATGGATTAGGAGATTGAATATTAAGATGTCGGATTTTCTCAAATTGATCTGTAGAGTCAATGCCATTTCAGTCATAATCCTAGAGGGATTAAAAAAATAGAAATCAGCAATCTGATTATAAAATGCATATGAAAATGCAAAGGACATAGGGTCGGCAAAACAACTTTGAAAAAGCACAAAGAAAAAATAAATAAAATACATCATGGGGGCAGGGAGTTAGAAAAAGCACAAAAGGATTTATACTGCTGGACTTCAAGACCATGCAAATCTTGACTTGCGAGTGGTGATAGAGCTGTGGGGTGAGGTTGATCTTGAAATTATCTGTGCAAGCCTTATTTGGTGGTTCTTCTCTCAGGATTCTAATCTCAGGATTTTGTTTACATTTTTGCAAATCTCTTTAACACCTGGCTTAACGGAGGACGGTGGCAACACATGGCTGCCCCTGTGGTCCCTGGGAAGTGCTGAGGTGTGTGAGGAAGTCCAGCCTCACGTGGACATGTGCCTGGAAAGGAGGAGTGTAGTGTAGGCTTTCTGTTGACTGCGGGTATCCTCCTCTGACATTACATCAAATATGCCCGCTCGTAGGTTTGTGAGGGTCAGTTCAAGGTGAACGCTGAGTCTACGAAGGAATGTCTTCACAATCAACTGCATTAAAATCCTTTGGGCGACCCTGCATTTTGCACGGCTCTCACCCATGCACAGTTCCCAACACCAGACGTTGGGTTTTTGTAAAAACTGGATCACTGAGTTATGCCGATCTTCCAAGTGTGGACACATTTCACACAATTTCCAAAACATCACATTCCCCCGTCACCACCCCTATTAGGAGAGCAGTCCTGGGTGTTGGAAAACGAAGTTCATGGTGGCAGATACAATGTTCCAAAGTTCTGGTTTCTATTTGAAAGCTCTAGAGCTACAACTTTATTTATCAAAATGCTTTCAGTTGTTGTCCCTGAAGCGCCAGGTTTACTTCATTCACTTTTTAAAAGAAAATATCTACCAAATACTCGCGTCTGAATAGCACAGTCTTGTCAGTGCGGTGGTCCCTAGTGCAGCGTGACTTTTACACGGAGGCCGAGTCCGAGGCGGGCTCCCTCGGGACGCGAGGACGGGTTTGCGTTCGGGGCGTCAGGAGCCCGGCCAGGGAGGCCGAGAA